TTGGGGAAAAGGCTTTTAAATACGCTGCCCCTGCTTCCTGGAATAATCTGCAGAAGGAACTGAAATTATCAGAATTGGTTACCTTGGGAGAGTTTAAGTCTGTCTTAAAGGAACGAGAGAACAGCTCTTTTACTCAGTGTGATTGTTTTTAATGTACTCTTAATTTGATCTGTTATTGTATATTTTACACATGTTTGTATGGGATATTGTATTTGTTTTAAATGTTATATACCTATGTGGTATGTGACTTTTGTTGCCATGATGCCAGGTCTCTCTTGGAAATGAGATTTTTAATCTCAATGAGATTTTTACCTGGAAATAAAGGACTATAATAAAAAAATTTATTTAGCCTTTTTCCATGTTGTTTACTCAGTTTAGCTGGTCTTCAATGAAGCAGGTAAAATGAAGAGGAGTTATTCAGAGCCTCCTACACCTCCTCTCAAAAAGTTGGATATTTAGTGCTACCTTTGTCCCATTTCAGCCCATTTTATTGGGTTGATTTTGCGTTTCTACGTATTTTATGACAGCATAAAAATAAATAAGTCCTCACTAACTAAACTCCCTTCTGTTTACATTTGGACCTTTCAGCATTTCCAGTTTGGCTTTTTATGCACAAATTTTACAAAAGTGCATAAATTGAGCTGGAAGAAAACACCTTCCCCTGCCTGTAGGTGATGCACGCTACACTGAAACTGCTGCAGCAGGTAAATTACCAGCAATTTAAAACACATTAAGCACAGAGAACAGAATCCAGAAACAACAGGACATTATGTAAAGAACGTTAAATATGTCTGTGAACAAAACCAAAGCCTGGAAAATTTAAGTTGCACGCCGTCCTTCTCACTCACACTCACACACACACACACACACACACACACACACGCACGCACACACACAGTGTTTTCCTCCAGCAGAAGGGGAGCGCCATATGTGCTCCGACAAGCCAATTGTCACATTTAACTTAAATTAGGTGTTTAGCATGTGGAAGGAGGAGACGGACAGAATTTCAATGTGCACATTTATATAAAGGTGTGAGGCAAACACACTGGCCTGAGCAGTAAAGAGGTCTAGAAGCCTGTTTGCATGATGTTTACAGGACTCTGTCACCTTTGTTGGACTCCTTGCTGATGGTGTCTGTTTGTCGTGTGCTGGTATTTTACACCTTTAAAAGGTAAAATTGTACCTGCTGCTTTAAGCAAGCTTTCTTCTCATTGGTCGCTGCTGTTTGAACAGCTTCTATGACACCACAGAGAGCCCAGAGAAGAAAAAACTACATTTTTTTCTTCAAGAACTTCCACATCTACTATGAGCATCCAGCACAGAAAACCCTCAGTGGACATTTGGTCCAGAAGCAGCATGATAAAAAGTCGGACACATAGACAGTCAACATCTTATATAACCTTAGATTCACATAATTGAAGCAGCCAGCCAAAGACAAACTGTTTACATCCACCGTGAGTGTCTGCCTTTATTCCTCTCGCCTTTCTTTCTAAATAAGAGCCATTAATAATATTAACGGATGATGTTTTCAATCAGCATTATCTGTGATCCCTTTCAGGCTGCAGTAAACCGTAAAGGTCACCCTGATTTAAAGTGCCTAAGACCAGGAACTCCCTCACTCTGAGCACACTGGTGCATGCTGCTCCCTCTTGGTGTTACAAGTTTCTGCATCACATTGTTGACGGGTTAAAGTGTGAAGTTTAAGATAAATCAGAGAGCGGGGATGTAGTGAAGCATGTTCTGACCCCAGATACATTTGAAAGTAGTTTGAAATAATGAGGATTCTTTTATTCCCATTTGGGATTACGTGTTTATGCCCAGGAATAAAAATCCAAATTAAAGTGTCACAATGGACTGGATTTTAAGGAAACTAGATGGAAGCACATGAGGATGGGGTTTTTCTAACACCCCTGTTTCTTTCCAAAATTTTTAAGCTTCCTTCATAATGAGAGCTGAAATTTTCCAGGCTGAAAAACACGTTCCAGAAGCTGTAAGCAGAAGAGTTTTACAGCCACCCCAAGTGTCACAACATGAATAAATAATAAAACTGTTAAAGTCACTTTCAATTAAATTCAGCTTTTATCTTTTTACGCCTGGCTCATAAAAACTGGACTTGCCAATGCGACCTCTCTGCATCGGGTTCAAATCCAGCGACCTTCAGAAGTTTGGCTTCCAAGTACTGCTTTAGCTTTCTTGGCACCACCCAACCCTTCTGTGCAGCAAAGAGCAAAATGTTCCCGTCACACTGTGACTATCGAAAGAATTAGAGACCAATGAGGGCACTGGGGTGGACTGAGACTTGGTACCGTATTTCAGCATTTCAAGCCCTTGTGTCATCACCTAAAGCAGGGGTAGGGGAACTTTAGGCCTCAAGCCTGGGTCAAAACACACGAATCAAATCAAAGAATCGAATCAAATCAGAATCAAAAGTTCATTACTAGCCTCTGCAGAACTCCAAGACATGTTGAGGAGGTGATTTAGCCATTTAAATAAGCAGTGTTGGATCAAGGAGACATCTAAAACCTGCAGGACACCGGCCCTTGAGGCCTGGAGTTTCCCACCCCTGATCTAAAGCTAAAAACTGACTCGTTCTGGTTGATTCTTTTGTAGATGTTTGATCTTCTTTTCCTGATTATTCACTGGAGAAAACGTCAAAGAGTTTGAGGGGATTAGAGATACCTACAGCTTCGATTTACTGCCAGGGACACCGATGGGTTGAAACTATGTGACCATGTGGTTGTTGGCCCCCGATCAGCTGATATGGATTCTGGGCGTACGTGCTTGGTTGTTTCGTATTTTTCTTGTGTTTCTGAAGGAAAACATGAAAAATACGATGGAACGACCTTCCTGAAACATTCAGCCACCACTCTGACCTTTTCAAATCAACCTCATTTGAGCATCCCGGCGCTTCAATCAGAGTCCAGATGGCCCTCCACTTTATTCATAATAAGTTTTGGCAAAAACACTCAGATTCAATCAGGTGTTTATCAGGACAACGAGATGAGGCGGAGAGTCGGCCGGCTCTTAGCGAGGAGTTACGTAGGACACCCTACAAAAGATGCAGTAGGAGAAGGAAGGTTTAAAAAACACGAAACAAAGTTAAAATAAAATTATGACCATATTTACTCAACTTCTATCTGAGTCTCAGAGTACAAACTCCACTCGGCAGCTGTTCTGAAGCTTTCAGTCAAGCTTCAAACTATCAATTCTTTTTGCAGGCACAGTAGATTTTTTTTTTTAAACAATAACAGTGTGAGAAGCTGTACGGTGAGAGCTGTCAGACAGGAAAATGTGTTTCAGTTCACTGAAAACTCAAAGTGAACACGTGGAGGCTCCGCTCGGCAGCAAACAGCCGGCAGACACAGAGTTTAACTGGAAACACTGCCGTGCATTCAGGAGGCAGATACTTCACACGCAGGTTGGTGGAGACCAAACACAGAGCTTCAAGACAGCAAATATACACCACAGACAGTTTTGAAGGGTACTGAATGCCCAATGTTACGCTCCCAGCCAAACCTATAATCACATCTCATCAAGAATTTCAATGGATCATTTTGATCTAGTGATTCTCTTGTTGAACTTTTATAGCTTGTCTCTCCAAACTAACGTCTTCCCTCCTAATGATAGGATATGAGAGGAGTTCAGGATCACAAAGACATCGCAAGAGGAAAAATTACAGTAAGTAACTGATATTTAAATCCTATGACTTTATTTATTAGTTCAGTTTCTTTTTAAAGTGTAAATATTTCACAGAAATTACCTGGAGTACCTTCACAACCCACTTGGGGACCATGTTCCACACTTTGGGATGTGGCTACTTCATAATTGAAGGTCTGTCATTCCCGCTTTGAAAACACCAGCACAGCCAAAATGTTCCAATCGAGGCTTCAGGACAATATATATTAAGCCAATGACTATGTACATCTTTTACATACAGTCTATGCACCACACTTGGACGTCCTTTGTTTTCGGTAAACAGTAACACAGTTTGCTGCACCGGAGGCGGTCCTTAACCCGAGCCCTGACCGAGCCAGTAAGGAAATCTAATTTTTCATGATCCACTTGGTTGATCTGGCCAAGATTTACAGCAGGTGCCTTCCTGACTATTATTAGGAGTACACATTGCTCTGTAGTTAAACTGAGCCGTAAGAAGCCCTGCTTTACAAATCTACGTGATCAAGAGGAGAATGTCAGTGCTTCCTCCCACTGTGCAAAAGCTGCCATGTTATCCAGCAAATAGTTACAAGTAATGTTTTCTGACAGTTAAAAGCAATTTAAAAAAAAAATCCAGGAATGAAAGAGATGAAATCACACAGACAAAGATAAAAGTCAAAGATGTGCTTCCTTTGTGGTCCTTGATATAAAGACGGAGCTCCAGGTGGTGCCAAACTACAGCCTAAAACCTTTATCATCATCATCATCAGTAAAATCCCTCTGAGACGAGCACGCTCTCTCATGCTCCTCTACGCTCCTTCTAAAGGCACAGCTGGTGGTTTTTATGTGTGAGAGCGTCTCATTTTAAACTGGTCGACACCACAGAGCTCAAAGGAACAAACCGGTTGGCATAAAGTCAGCAAAACACCTGTAGTCCCTCTCAGCATGAGGCCCCACCCAACAGCAGCAAGGCGGTCTCTGAGATCCTCAAAATGTCAGAGTGTGTGTGTGTGTGTGTGTGTGTGTGTGTGTGTGTGTGTGTGTGTGTGTGTGTGTGTGTGTG